GGCCTCTGATCGTGAGGTCAACACTTTAGTTACACTTGAGAGTATTCACGGGGAGTTATTACAAATTTTAGAGAGAGAAAGTAGTAGTTGGCAGGTTCAACAACCCCTCATAAATGAAATGGGTGTCCTATAATAATAACCTTAATTTGACACTATTCAAACACTATTCATCCGTCTTGTCGCACAGTAACTCTGACATGCAGGTCGGCGCTTCTTTGACAGATATTAAATGCGATTTGAGACTTTTGATCTGACAGACATTTAATGCACACATGGGGCATTAAATGTTGACAGGCCTTTATGTCGGGTTAGCAAATACCATAGGATGGTAGACTAGGATGACTAGTCCCATTGGCAATCATTAGCTGCTAAGTGGCAATATTATATCATTTTCGGGCCATGCATTCGCGTAGGAGCCGACCCCAGGGAATCTTCAGGTCAGACTTTCGACACTTACTGGTCCGCATCTCTCGGGAACCTATTTATTTTTTTGGCATCCGCGGATGTCGGCATTACAACTGGATGGTCAGGATGCCGGCCTCGGAGAATGTGTTGACGGTCATCCTGGCTGACCAAATGTGTTGACGGACATCCTGGCTGACCTTTCTCTTCGCTCAGCTCGTTTTTTTTTTTTTTTTGGCTGCGATGGAAAGATAGGGTTTTGAGAAGTGAAAGGTCGCCTCTTCAACAAAGAGAATGAAAGGTTAATAAATACAGATAGCATTTAAGGCTAGGTAGATATACATCAACTCAACAAGTAAATGAGGAAGCATGCAAATCGTCATAGTTTTTTAGGTGTAAAAGCAGACAATCAATCAATGCGGTGCGTAACTTATGCGAACAATATGCGAAGTATTTTCGATTTGGATATGCGGTGCAGAAAGATCAATGCAGTGCGTAACGTATGCGAATAATATGCGAAGCACTTTCGATTTTGATATGCGGTGCAGACAATCAATCAATGCGGTCCATATGGATATGCAAAAAAAATGGCGGATAGTCGTAAATTATGCGGCTTTCGATTTGGATATACGATTCGTTAATTATGCGGTTGAAGACTAGGCGAATCATCCTAGTTGTGCGATTATTATGGGATATGATATGGGAATCGCACAATCAACCTAATTGTGAGATTATTATGGGACATGTTATGTGAATAGCACAATCAACCTAATTGTGAGATTATTATGGGACATGTTATCCGAATCGCGCAATCAACTCAATTGTGCGATTGTTATGGGACATGTGAGAAGGTCAACCCAATTTCGATAATTATACCTGGATTACGAACATTTGCTTCTCATTGACCTCTTTGTCTTCTTCGCCTGAATCATCATTATGCGTGTTGGTTTGGTCATCATTATTGTCATCGTCACGAGAATGACCTGGTTGGTTCGAACAACCCGCGGTTTGGTCATCATCGCCCCGAGGATATGTAACACCCCGCCTAATTATTTCTAGAATTTATAAAATCAGAGTAAAATTTTTGCTTTTTATTTTCGAAAAACTCTTAAACTTTATTTTCGAAAATACTCATACTAACTTGCGGGATGCCACTAACTTAAACTCTTTCTCATGCAGACGTAAATAAATACATGCAACCTAATCAAAT